TTCCTAAAGACTTGGCCACCTCCCCCCATCACATGTCCCTTCCCCTCTTTCTTGTCATCCCACATGCCCAGAGTCCCCCCAGCAGGCCAAGGGCAACTTTTCCTGCACTGGAAGCTCTGGGGACCAGCCAGTCCCTGTTTCTAGGGGACTCAACTCCCTTCCCTGCGTTAACAAAGCTTTACCCCGGACTGTGTCCATTAAGATTGGGTCCAGCCTCATAGTAAAGACAAACCCAAAAGAAAAGCCTATTTTCCTCCCAGGTAAAAGAAACCTGGATGTAGGTAGCCAGGGAATTCACAAAGGCATCAGAAACCCATGCTCCTTACTCAGCCATCCCTCATGTGTGATTCATCCTCATGGTCCAGGAAGACTGCTACAGTTCCAGCCATCACATCCATTTTCCAGGAAGCAGAATTGAGGAGGATATACCCCCTTTCTGTGAAGATGAGAGGGAGGCGGGGGAGTTCCAGGCAGGGAGCAGCCTAGCAGAGGGAGAAGGCAAGTGGCTCTTGCTCTGAAATCTGGAGACTGACTTGGCTGCTGGAGGCGGTTGGCCTACTCCCATGCTCCCCCACCCCACACCCAGTGATGCTGAGGTTTTAGGAGGTACTTGACTTGAGAGGCAGCTGAGGTTTGAACGTCCCTGAGTCCTGTGCATTTGACCAAGAACCTAATGATCAAAAGCAGAGATTGTCAACTGAAAGGCCTGCATGGCCAGGTAGGCTAGGGGGCAGGGGACAGGGCATGAGCTCTGCACAGCCTCCTCCAGCTGCCGTCGTGTGGGAAAGGGCCCAGTAATGCCAGATCTTTTCGCTTATTAAGAAGCCAGAAATCTGGGCTTTTCTGTAAAATCTCCCGATGTGTAAACACTGATGCCTATAACCCACGTGCTCGTGCTGAGCACAGCAGAACCCTACAGGGCCCTGTGCTGCAGTGACAATGCCAGGTCCCGCATCATGCAGTGACCTGGCTCTCAGCAGGCAAGGCCTAGAGACCGGAGGCCCTGGGGGGGGGGGG